CTGCATGCACTTGTTGCGCCGATGCATACAGTCGGCTCTGTTACTAATCTCTTCTTTTTGTGCAAGTTTTTCAACTGCCCGCTTTGATATTTCTAATTTTACCATCGCTCTTTTTATTTTCTTTTTAATTTCAACAACATATAAGCATCTATTTATTTTTCTTTGTGCTTGAAGTTCTTCTCATCACAAATACATTGTACAATTATTTCTTTCTTTTGTATTATCTACTGCGTATAAATCAATAAAGAAGATTTTAATTAAGATCTTAATTAATAATGAAATATGCGTTATGTATTATCTACAGAGCATCTTGAGAAGCGGCTAAAACTAATCTACTAAAGTAATTTTTCAACGTACGTAGGCAACAAGAAAAGTAAAATTGGAATTTTTTAACAGAGAACATTTAGCAGTTTTATTTAAACATAAATTAAAAACAATCGGAAATATTTTTATCATTTAATGAATGTTTATAAAACATTCTAAATATTATCAATCGTAATAATATATATTTTTCAACATACATTTTCAAAGTGTGCACTGTCAGAATTAAAAAGAACAAAAAATCAATCGTTTTCGAAAATACTTTATCTAAGGTCTTTTTCAAGATGTTATTTATAACATCTTTTCTTACACCTAACTTTTCTTACAACTCTGATCGATTCATTTTTTGGGCTGTTCGGGCTGTTTTGGGCTGTTCGGTATAACAGTTGTTTCTAAAGTAATTTTTTTAAAGCAAAAAGAAGTCGGAAAAATCTACGGATTCAAATATGAAGAAATGGAAGCTAATATGGAAGCCATATTTTCCTGAATAAACTTAGAATATATTTCACAGCCAATTATTTGGTTCTCATAAGAAAATAGTTTCTAAAGCTTCCCTAATACAATGTGGCATAAAATGAAAATGTTGGACTACACCTATTTTCTTTGCATGCAAGAAAAACTTTATTTATACAATAGCTATTGTGAATCTCTCTAGTGATCGATTCGAAAAATTCTAAGTATTCCTTTCAACTGAAACGAATACCGATACAGTCACTTTCTGAGAGTGGAAAAATTTCATTAAAATAACATTGAAATTTTTTTTATCCAAAACCAATAATTTTGTTTATTAAAATATATTTATCTAATTAAAAATGTATTTTATTGAAAAACGTAACACGTATAACAAATATAATAGAAGGGTAGAAAATTAAATTTTAAACATTTTAGAGTTTTTTTTTCTTGAGAATGTAATGTATGCTAAATTAGATATCGTTTATGAACATTATATATATTTTTTTTAATTTTAACTTTTATATATATTTTAA